ACACACACACACAAATACACACACACACACATGCACGCACACACACATGCACGCACACACACACGCACGCACGCACACACATGCGCGCACATTAACACACACGCACACCTTTTTATCCATGTGGAAGGGACTACCGCATGTTTGGACACGTGTCGTACGTCGGTTCGTCTTCCATGGAAATATCTGTGACCGTTGACACAGACAGCGACACGGCACCAGAGGAGCGCGACAAAGTCATGGTACAAACAAGGCACTTTGCACGCACTGTTTGAAGGAAGCAAGCAAGTCACACGCGGTTGAGTTGGAGAGGGACACGTGTGGTAGTTTGATGTGTGCTGCACAAGCAGCTTACATGTACGCAACCCCGCCCTTCCTCCACACTCACATGTGCGCGTGTGCGCTTGCTGTGTGGTTGGCGTTCAGGTTGCCACGTTCACGATGGTGGCGCGCGATCCCGTGACCAAGTCAGCGTACCCCGTGAACAAGCTCAAGGCAACAACACCAGAGGAGGAGGAGATCATGAAACTCGGCGAGCACAACAAGCGTGTCAGAAAGGTACCGCATCACAGCAGGATGCACGCCGGCTGCCTGCCTACCTCTCTCTCTCACGCACGCACACACACACTCATAGCGTTGCTCTGCTTCAACCACACACATACACACACATACACACACATACACAACAACCCTAACACCAATCACTGACGCCAACACCACCAACAATATCATCCACCACGCGTGTACAGCGCGAGCGGGAGCAGTCTGTGCACCGCCAGCCGCCGACGGAGGAGGAGCGATTGATTGTGCATGATCTCTATCTCCGCTCCAAGGACACCACTCGCAAGCGCCCGCTCGACACATTGTGGATGTACGTGTGTGCACATGTCGGGTTCGTGGCGTGGAAACGTGGGTGTCTGTTGCGGTGCTCATCAGCGCGTTGACCCTCGACGCCTGCTTGACGCCTGCTTGACGTGTGCATGTGTGTGTGTGTTTTGGGGACAATCACCTCTCTTTGTCACTCTATCTTGTTGTCTGCGATGCACGTCTGCTGGACGAATGTCACCCCTCGACCCCCACCACCCCTGCGTGTGCTCTTCTTCACCAGGGTGGATACGCAGCGCCAGTCCATGCGCATGTGTCACCCGATTGAACGCAACATTCACAACAGCGTGAGTTGCCTTTATGTTCAACACCTCTGTGCTCAGTCATTCTCGACTTGTACCCATACACATCCAAACAGCATTGCTCGCTCTGTGCTCACCAGCCTTGCGTGCACGTGTTTGTTTGTGCGTGTGTGTTTGTTTGTGCCTTTTGTGTGTGTGTGTGTGTGTGTGTGTGTGTGTGTGTGTGCAGATCTTTGGCGGCTTCATCATGCGGGAGGCGTTTGAGATTGGATGGATGACTGCTGTGCTCGCCGTTAAGGACGTACATCAAAACCTGTGTGTGTGTGTATGTGTGTGTGTGTGTGTGTGTGTGTGTGTGACTTGCACTATTGGGATCGTCCAGGGACGTGTCACACTCACTTCAGCTGCCTCACGTTCCCACCAAATCCGCACCAACCTGTGTTCTGTGTGTCAACAGCACCCATTCCTGCTTGCCGTGGACGACATTTCATTCCAGCACCCGGTTGAGATTGGATCCCTGCTCACGTTCTCTTCCATGATCACATACGCACCGGGGAATGACAGCCGCGCCCTGCAAGTCGATGTCCGCGCTGAAGTCATCAGCCCAACGTGAGCACGGCTGCTGCTGACGGTGCATGCCTGTGTGTGTGTATGTGTGTGTGTGTGTGTGTTTGCGTAGGTGTGTGTATGTGTTTGCTTTGGTGTGTGTGTGTGTGTGCGTAGGTGTGCGAATGTGGACGCGGATATGGAGGGGTGGAGGAGGAGCAAACGGGACGACAAAGCACTGCTGTTGTTATTGTCATCTTCGGTGTTGATGTCATCTGTGCACGCGTATGGTTTTGCCCCTCCCCCCTCCCGCACTCCAGGACTGGCCAGAGCAAAGTGACCAACACGTTCCACTTTACGTTCTCTGCGCCTCACCCGACCGTGCCCACGGTTCTCCCCAGGACATACGAGGGTGCGACTTGCTCTGTGTTGTGATGATGAGTATGTGTTTGTTTGTTTGTTTGTTTGTTTGTGTTTGTGTGTTCGTGTCGTGTTGTGTTCGTGTTCTGCCTTTGCTCGTTTCACACTTATACATCCGTTCCCTCACCACCACCACCACCATTATCGTCATCATCATCAGAGTCCATGTGGTATCTTGACGGACGCCGTCGCTTCCTGAAGAGTCGCGAGGAGTGCAGACAGCTCTGCCCAGACCTGCTCAAGTACTACTGATCACTGACCCGCAGCAACAACGCACCCTGCAGTGTTGGAATGACGTGTATTGTGTATGTGTGTGTGTACACGTGCGCATTTGTGTTTTCTGCGGTTGCACATCGTCTGTGTGTCTCTTTGTTTCGTTGAGGGCTTGTTGAAATGGGAACAGTAAATGCATTGCTTAACGTCATCACACCGTTCCCAACACACACACACACACACACACACACACCTCTAGCACTATGCAACACTTCCTATCATGTGGTCGATTGATCCTCCATCAACGTCGTGTTGGTTCATTCAATGCAGACGCACAAGAGGAGGAAGTAGAGAACAAGGCAAACCAAGACACGCACACACATGCAAACACACACGCACACACATGCACACGCACACACGCGCGCGCACACACACGCGCGCGCGCGCGTGCCAAAGCACAGACGCAGTCGCAGAAGACGAGAAAGGTGTTGTGGGTCAGAATTTCTTCTGGCGGAGGACGAGGTCTTCGTACAGTTGTCGGTCTGTCGTCACGTCACCACCCTCCATCACCGAGCGAAGGTTGTTGATGTGGTCCAGGATCGCCTTGTACACAAACCGATACTGCGCCTGTTTGCGTGTGCGTGACATTGGTGTTTACATGTGTGTGTATGTGTATGTGTGTGTGTGTGTGCAAGTTGATGTGAGAGTTGGCAAGTGTGCACATGCGTGTGCACATGTGCTTGGTGTGTGACATGCACGCCACCAGCCATGACAACGTGTCCCCAACCAGCACAGCCTCCACCACCCCACACACAGACACACAGACACACAGACACACAGACACACGCACACACACACACACACACACACACACACACACACACACACACACACCGCCGTCTGGATCATGCCAGAGCGCTGTGCACGGATCCCCTGGATGCTCTTTTGGATGTCAACATCAATCCCAGTGCCTGCAGAACAAGGACACAAACGGTGTGCACCGCCCATGCATGAGTTGGGATGCTGGTCACGTGATACACCACACAACACGTGCATGTCATGCTGCCATCCCCCAATGCACACCACACAAACCTTTCCCTTCCATCATCATCATCATCATCATCATCATCATCATCATCATCATCATCATCTCATCATCATCATCATCAGCAGCAGCAGCAGTCACAACCAACAGCTGCTCGCACCTTCTTGCTCAATCTTGTCCATGATGATGTCGATGACGATGATGGTGCCCGTTCGCCCAATACCAGCACTGCACACAAAAGAGTGGCGGTGTTTGTTTGTTTGTTTGTTTGTTTGTTTGTGTGTGTGTGTGTGTGTGTGTGTGTGTGTGTGTGTGTGTGTTTGTGTGTGTGTGTGTGTGTGTCAAAATGCAATATAAGCACGGGCACGACGTACACGCGTTTCAAACCACAGGCCCAGATGTACGCAAGAGAAGACAGCACACACACACACATGCACACACACATGCACGGGATCAGCACCTGCAATGGACGAGGAGGGGCCCGACAGGACGCTGGCTCTTCTCCTTGACGTCTTTATTGTGTTCGCGGACCGTGAGGAGAAGGCTGAGAATCTCTGCATCGTCGGGAACACCGTGGTCCGGCCAGTTGGTGTAGTGGTACTGATACACCGTCCGCGCAGGGTCAGAGCCTGCACAGGCAAGCGCGTAAAACACACACGCACACACACGCACACACACACGCACACACACACACACACACGCCAGTACATGCACGACGAGTGAGCGCACGCACGTGTAAAACTGCACACACACAGACACACAGACACACAGACACACACACACAGACATACAGACACACACACACACACACACACACACACACCCTTCTGGACGACGAGGGTGCGGATAATGAAAGGGCCCCTGTCCTCTTCGGCCTGCATCAGCACGCGGAAGCCGCCGTAGTCGGCGCTGTCCCCGGCGTTGTCAGGCCAGTAGCGTGTGCACTTGTGGCGCCCGCGCTCAACCTCCTTCGTCACCATCACCACAATGTGAACTGGGAGGTGGTAGTTGAAGGGGGATGTGACGAGGATGTGAGGAGGATGGGTGTTAAGGCTTTGTGATGATGGGTGCGATTGCTGGGGGATGTGGAGGGCAGTGATGTGAAGACAGGGGTTCTCGCAAAGACATATTCTGGGACAGTCTCACACAGACACAGACACACACAGACACAGAACACACACTCACACACAGAGAACACCGACACACACACACACGCACACACACATGTACACACGCGCACCATCGTTCTCCCAGATCATCTGCCAGAAGGAGGGCACGGTTGTGGGCATGCAGCCCTGTGACGCAATGTAGGCGTGGTTGGTGCCAGCAGCCTCGCCGTTGACGTAATTCGCGTTGATGTAATCGGCGCCAACTTCCGGTCCGACATCACGCAACTTCACACGCGTCTCATCGTCTGCAAACACACACGCAGCGGCACGTCAACCGCCAGTGAGAGCATGTGTGGGTACATGTGTGTGTGTGTGAGTGTGTGGTTTGCTTTTGGTGTTTGTGTGTGTGAGTGTTTTGGTGAGTGTGTGCGTTTTGTGTTGGGGGGGGGTGCATATGACTCTTGGTGAGTGTTTCGGTAGGGGTGCGTGTGAAGAGAAAACACAAGACGGACAGGCTGCTCCGCACACGTGTACACGTGCACGCAAGCGCGTGCATGCATGTGCGCACGCATGCATGCACGCACAAGGGAGGATGTTTTTGTATCTGTTCTTGGGCTTGTTCTCTGGACGGGTGCCCTCAATGCGCGGCTTCTCGAGAAACTGTGCCTCCATCTGCTGCAACTGCTCGAATTCTTCAAAGAACCCGGCCCGCGCCCCAACATCGTCAGACTCCTGCGCACACAGCAAGACGTGATGGGTGGTGGTGGTGGTGGGGGGGACATAAGACGACCAGAGCGCAAAGGCCAGCTTGTCAGCAGGAGCACCACCACCATGAGCACAACCACCATGAGCGGCAGCACCACTATGACAACCACGATCATGGCACCTTTGAGAGCTCGTCGAATCTGCCTGCGATGGCGGAGAGGGTGAGGCGGGTTGCGTTGAAGGGGTACACCAGCTTCACCACGCGGCTGTTGGCCTCAATAATCGGATGCTTCTTGTAGTGCTCAACTGCAGCGAGAGGGTGATGTGTATAGGGAAGGGGCAAAGCGAAGAAGCATTGCGTGAGGTGCAGGTCATGGCGAGTCAAGTTAGCAGAGTCACAATGTGGTGTGCAGCCAAACAGAAGGGGGGGGGGAAGAAAGGCGCAGAGGCGGGCATGCTGAAAGACGCCCACTTTGAAGGCAATGACGGAAGATGCGTGCACGACACACAGATATGAACAAAAAAATACATGCACACACACATACATGCATACATCTGCACACACACACACATACATACATACATACATACATACATACATACATACATACATACATACATACATACCATACATACATACACATACATACACATACATACATACATACATACATCTGCACACACACACATACATACATACATACACATCTACACACACAGATACATAATACACGCAAACACATACACACACAGCGTATGTACATGCTGTACAACGCACTGAGGGAAGCGAGGTCGCAGAACTGCTGTCCGCCACCAAGATCATACACGCCGCGACCGGCACGGATCATGATATGCGTCACTTCGTTCTTCACCCTGATGGCAAGGGCAGCGCCAACAGTTGGGACAGCGTGAGGGCAACGCGACACTCGTCTGATTGCACACACACACACACATACGTGTGGTCTGTAATTCCACTCATCACCACCACACCACCACCATTCACGCATGCCAATGATCGTCATGTGACATGTGTGTGTGTGCGTGTATGTGTGTGTATGTGTGTGCGTGTATGTGTGTGTATGTGTGTGCGTGTATGTGTGTGTATGTGTGTGTGTGTGTGTGTTCAGATGGATACCTGACGGTGAGGACGTAGCGACCGGGCTGGCTGGAGGATGTGCGCACGAGATACGAGCCGTCCTGCCCGCGCTGCATCAGCGCCTCCTCGCTCTCCCGACTCGACAGGTTGCCGTGGAACCACCTGCAGCATTGTGTACCCAGAGTCGCACAACAATGCACACGCACAACACAATACACACCACAATACACACCACAACACACACACACACACATACATACACACACGTGGTGAGCGCCGTGTGACCAGTGGATACGAGTGACAACAAGTGCAAGAGTATCAGTGGATTATGCGTGCACCTCTCTGATGTCGGGTCTTCCGAGAGGAGGGGGTCCAGCAGCTCAATCTCATTGCCGTTTTTCTCTTTCAGCTGGAGGCGGGGGCAACATAGGAAAGCACGTGAGCTCAGAAGTGTAACGAACACACGCAACACATACCACAGTAAGTGCATACGTGCATGGGTCCACAACACAAACACACACTGCACACACACACACACACATCCCCCACCCTCACACCACAACGCAACGCAACGCAACAACAGACAACCCCCTCCCCAATGCTCAGATATGGCCATACACTGACCGTGTTGTGCTCCTGTGTGTAGTATGAGATGAGCTCTGACAAGTTGGCAAACTTCTCGCCGCCATACAGGTCATAGAAATCGCCTGTGTTCTGGATCTTGACGTGCAGCACGGAGTCGCCACGACTGGCAGTGGACAGCACATGATCAACGCAAAGCGGCAGCGTTTGTGTCGACGTCAGCACGCGTGTCCCCATCGCAGCAACAACAGCAACAAATTCAGAACAACACAACTGAGAGCGTGCTAGCTACGAGGAAGCAAGATCACGCCTGACAGAACGCACACACACAAACACGCGCACACACGCACACACACACACACACACACACACACACACACGAACACAACATAGCATACGCGCACAACACACACATATGCTTGGGACGTACAGCACGGAGAGGGCGTAGTCGTTCTTGTTGGTTTGGCTGCTTCGAACAAGGAAGGAGCCATGCTTGCCATACTGCTTCAGCAGCTTCTCGGCATCCAGGCCCGAGATTGTTGGGTGGAACCACCTGTGCAGCCACCAATGCAACGTGTGTTAGTGAGGTTGCGCTTGCAAGGATCCTTGAGCAAACACCACACAGGAGGACAAGCAACACGCAAGAAACCCGTCAACAACAGTACAAACACTGGTGTGAGGAATCGGCACATGTGACACGTACCGACGAGCCATTGTGCTTGATGTTGTTTGCTCCTCGCTGGGGCTGTTGTGAGACAAAGTGGTCACGTCTTGTGCTGTACATTCCAGCAAGACACATACACGCTTACTCGTGAGAACAAGATAAGGTAGCGTGCATTCCAGTGAGCGAGCGAGCGAGAGACAGCACTCCACACCACTCAAGGCCACTTCAAAGACACTCCCACTCCACCTCTCGTCATTCTCATCAGCAGCGTCCTTCCAAACCTTTTTTGTGCCAGCGCGAAATGGGCCCGTTGCAACCAGCACACCCCCCAACACAAAAATTTCGTATTGTTGCGAGGTTGTGAGTCGCAATTTATGGTGTTGGATTCTTTTTTGAGGACGCTTGCTTGGTTGGTTGGTGCACGTGGTTTTGTGAAGCAGCGCCACCATTGTTGTTCTTGGCCGTCGACGCTTGTGTGTGTGTGGTGTGCATCTTTTGGTGTGTTGATCCATCGTCGGTGTTGAGCTGATACCGCGGACATGGGAAAGAAGAGCAAGACGGGAAAAGCCCGGTGAGTAGGTTGTCACCCATGACAAGGCGTGTGTCCCATGTGTTTGAGCACATGTGATTTTTGAGTGGCTTGTCTGCGTTCAACATCTTGGGTTTGATCTCACGGTGCCGTTGCCATTGTGTATGTGCTGCAGTCGTGATAAGTTCTACCATCTCGCCAAGGAGAGCGGTACGTTTGAGTGGAACCAAACACTGGCTGCGTTTCTGTTTGCTTATGGGATTGCATGTGGATGTATGTACCTGTGTGCAAGCCGCCTTTGCACACATGTCCGTGTGTGTGTGTGTGTGTGTGTGTGTGTGTGTGTGTGTGTGTGTGTGTGTGTGTGTGTGTGTGTGTGTGTGTAGTATACATACTGCTTGGGGTATGTAATTGTTAGTTGCAGCCCTGAGATAGGACAACATAGGATCTGTAGCCTGCCTTCGATAAAAAGCAGTGGGTGCTGTAATTCAGAGAACACGACACCGCACTTTAGCATCTGGTATCATTAACAGCGTTTTAGTTTCCTAGGGCCGATGTGGATTGACCTACAGATCCAAGTGAAATATCTCATATCAATTAATGATACTATGTAGTTGGAGTACTTTTTGGTGGGGCGTAGTTCTCAGAGGGCTTAGGTGAGCGATACCACATTGTGCAATATGTGTTTTGCGCCGCACACATCTGTGTGTGTGTGTGTGCGTGTGTATGGCGGCTGTGATGATGGTCGTAGCATTCATTGGTCACTCGCCACTGTTCGCTCATGTTGCCTTCCTGCCCTTTGTGCACACTTGATGTTGTCTTGGCACCTAACACAGGCCTCCGTGCCCGTTCCGCGTTCAAGCTGCTGCAACTGAACCGCCAGTATGACTTCCTCACAGGAGCCAGCGTCTGGTGAGTGCCATGCTGTGGATGGCAATTGCTGTATTGTCGTCGCTGATGCTGGTTGTGCATGATGTTGGAGGATGGTGCTGGTTGTGCATGGCGCTGGTCTTAATGGGCGGCTGCCATCGGTCGGCAGAGACCACGTTGGTGTGACCAGTCCTGTGTGATCCGTGTCCCGTGTCACGTTCCACATTTCGCTCACCCACTTGACCCCACGTCTCCTGCCTCACGCTGCCACCTGTGACTCGCTACACGCCCCCATTGCCCTCCTTTCCGCCACCGCAATAATTGCACAGCATCGATCTGTGCGCTGCGCCTGGTGGCTGGATGCAGGTTGCCAAGGAGGCAATGACAAAGAACTCAAACACAACCGTGATTGGCGTGGACCTTGTGCCGATCCAGCCCATCAAGGGCTGCATCTCCATCCAGGCAGACATCACCACAGAGCACTGCCGCGCGCAGCTGCGCAAGAACATGAACCACAGGAAGGCCGACGTGGTGCTGCACGATGGTGCCCCCAACGTCGGTACCTCCTGGATTCAGGACGCCTTTACCCAGGGTACGAACCACCGCTACATGCATACAGTGCCGTTTACACCAAGCACGTTTGGCCTCCACTTTAATTTTCATCTTGCCCACAAAACGTGACTACTACTCACGTCTTTTCTGCACACACACGCACGCACGCACACACGCACACACACACACACACACACACACACACACACACACACACACACACACACACAGCCGAGCTTGTGCTGCAGTCCCTGAAGTTGGCGACGCAGTTTCTGCGCAAGGGCGGCACCTTTGTGACCAAGGTGTTCCGGTCACGTGACTACCCGAAGCTGCTGTATGTCTTTGGCAAGCTGTTTGAGAAGGTGCACGCCACAAAGCCCTCATCATCGCGTAACGTCTCCGCAGAGATCTTCGTCGTCTGCCAGGTGTGTGCGTGTGTGCGGGGAGTTGTGTGGCCGTGTCTGTGATTGCATGAATTCGTGCATGTGATTCTCCGTGTCATCGCTTGCGGCACAATCTGCTGTACTTCTTTTCGCTTGCCTGAGTGCTCACGTACACACACGCACACACACGCACACATACACACACATACACACACATACGCACACACACGCATTCACCGTTACCCCACCCCACCATCATCACCACCATGTTTGTGCCTGCATGCAGCGGTATGTTGCGCCGCACCGCATTGACCCGCGGCTGCTTGACTCTCGCACGGTCTTCAGCGAGGTTGAGCCCGAGAAGGAGGAGCCAAATGTCCTCCAACAGAAGGAAAAGAAGAAGAACAAGCCAAAGCCAGAGGTGCGTCACACACTTCAACGAAGGGGGGGGGTTGATTTTGTGTGTGTGTGTGTGTGTGAATGTGTGTGTGTGAGCGTGTGTGTGTTTGAGCGTGCGCGTGTGTGTTTGTTGGGCGGTGATTGGCACGCGTTGGGTCTCGGTCCTGCAGCGCAACAAGTAGTGTGTCATTCTGTCGCATCTCATTGCTGAATTGTTACGTGTGCAGGGTTACGAGGAAGGCAACTACACGCAGTACAAAGACGTGAATGTCGACGAATTCATTCGCGCGTATGTTCGATCGCTGCACATCCATGCTTGCACACACCCAACAATTACATACATGCGCCCACCCACACACCCACAGTCACACACACACATACACACACTGCGCATGCACTCGTACACACGCGCACGTGAATGGTGCGAATGAAATACACGCCTTGCTTCTCACATGCCATCCCTATGCGTTGAATGCAATGCGGCCATGACAGGAATGACTTTATGACAATGCTGTCGACGTACTCAGCATTCACCTTCTCTCCAAACAGGTCAGCTTGCTTTCGGGTGTGTGCATATGCGTGAGGGTGCTGGTGTGCGCGTGTGTGCGTGTGTGGTGTTGATCACAGCACATTTAAGGCTGTGGGGAACACCGCCGCATCCACTGCACAGTCAGCCATTCGTACATGCACGTAGAATTGTGGCTAACGCCCGCTTTGTGTGTGTGTGTGTGTGTCATTGGCCGTGCACTTCACACCAGCCCGCTGCTGAAGCTGCCGGAGACGACGCCAGAAATCAAGGCCCTGTGCGAGGACTTGAAGCTCCTTAACAAGAAGGACTTCAAGTATGTGTGCATATGCGGTGTGAAGGGAGACCGTTACTCGCAACCTTTGCATGAACCCCGTTTCCTCTCTGTGCGCTCTGCTTCATACCACACTCACCCGAGACGACTCACTCACTCACTCACTCACTCACTCACTCACTCACTCACTCACTCACTCACTCACTCACTCACTCACTCACTCACCACCACTACCACCACCACTGCGGTGACCAGGACGCTGATCAAGTGGCGGCAGAAGATGCGCGGGTGGCTGCGGGCGCTTGCAGAGGAACAGATTCGACGCGACGGCGGCGATGGCAATGATGACAACAAGGTGGCACATCTGCACGTCTACGTGTGCGTGTTTGGATGTTTGAGTGAGCGCACGAGTGGGTGCGATGTGTGCGCATCAAGCAACATTATCATGTCATGTCGTGCTTGTGATCTTCGTCTCAACGTCTCCATCCCCCCCCTATAATCAAACACCAACACACACGCACAAACAAACATACACATGTGTCAATACACAATTACACACGCACACATAGGAAAAGGCTGGCGGCAGCGGTGACGACAAGAGGAAAGGAGACACGACCACGACCACGAACAAGACGGACGATGCCAATGGTAACGCCGATGGTGACGAGGAGGAGAGCGATGAGGACGAGGACGACGGCCTGCTGTCTGCACTGAAGGATGCCGCTGCAAAGGAGCGGGCGAAGATGAAACGTCTGCGCAAGCGCCGCACGAAGATGAACCTCAAGCTCAAGGAGAGGCTCAGTCTCCAGGTCTGCCACCTTGCACATGACACGAAACTTGCTCTCTGGTGGTGGTAGCGGTGGTAGCAATGGTGGTGGTGGTGGTGGTGGTGCAAACATAGTTCCACTGGCGATTGCTGCTCTGTTTCTTTTTGGTGTTCTGTGTGTATTCTGTGTGTGTGTGTGCGTGTGCGTGCGTGTGTGTGTGTGTGTATTCTGTGTGCGTGTGCGTGTGTGTGTGTGTGTGCGCGCGCGCTGGGCACGTTTCTCTCTCTCTCTCTCTCTCTCTCTCTCTCTCTCCTTCCTCTTGTCTCTGGGTTGCTCATTTAGCCACAAGTCTCTCGTACGTTGTTGCCGCTCTCACTCGTTCCACCGCAACCCCATGCTCCACCCC